CGGATTTATGGGTTTCAGACTTTGCTCTATCGAATACAAACATCAATTTTGAAATAAAAATTTTATCGAGTGCTTCGAATGCTTGAGGCATGCTGGATTGTCTCATGGACCCTCTCTTAAGATTCCATATAAAATAATGGCAAATGATTTTATTTAAAATCAAATGAAAGAGTTACGTTCTGTTTTTCTGACAGAGGTTTTCTTTCAAATTTTATCCTTTAAATGTTAAAATAGTGTAACATTCACTTTGCGAATCGTTTAGTTTTGCTCGGCAAAGTGGACAATTCTTTTGACTGCTCGCTTCAATCCATTTCTCTAGACAGACTTTGTGATGTACATGATTGCATATTGTAATTACTGGTTCATTTGTGTCGGTGTCAGTGTCGGTAATTTCTTCAGTACATATTGCACACTCACCAAAATAATTTATATAATTTGATGAGTACATCGCTATAGAGGCTGCTTTAGCAAAACTTAGTATATCATTAGAAACAGTGTAAGCTCGTTCCAATTTACCAAACATCATCTGAATAATTCTACGAATACTTTCTAAGAGATTCATCCGTTCCAGTTTGAAATATTCTTTGTTGGCCGTCTCTTCAAGATCTTTCTTGATTTGATTCAGAAGTTTTTCTCGTCGTTTTAATAACATTGCTTCCATATCTGGATCTTCATCTGTCATATTATCACCAAATATGACGCTTTTGACTTGATTGATAATTTTAATCATATTATCATCTTCACTATTTTTTGTTAAATATTTCTCTTTTGTCATTGTCTGATTACTACAGCGGGTGAATATAATTGAACACCATTGCAATACATGATCACCAAATATGGTAGTAATCAAATCAAGATAGTGTCGTGTATCAGAGGATATGCGACCATATTGAACACAAATATAAACTTTATTATAGCCGACTGCAGAACTTTTTAAAATCGATTTCAAACATCCCACTACATCTTCTGGTTTAAATCTATTGTCTCCAAGTCCTATAGAATCAGTATATGCATTATTCGGTAAGCAGTAGTAAGTAACAAAAAA